CTGTCTGTGATTGGGCGTCGTGACTTTGGGTCCTGGTCCTCTTTGATGGCAGAGCACAGGCAAAGGGGCAGCAGATGAAGTGAGAGTTTCAGAGGGGGCCCTGGCGAACCCACACTCCAGGTAGGCTGTGCGCGGGCAGGAGGCTCGGGCTGGGAGCTGGGTGATCAGACCCAGGCCTGTCTGGTGCTTCACACACAAGCCCAGTCCCATTCTCATGGATCGAGGTAGAGGTGATGCCACTTCAGTGGGAGGTAGAGTCCAAAACACAAAACAGCTTTATGGACATGTTGAGGTGCAATTACAAACCGCATCCTTACCATCTGGGGAAGTCTGAACGCTCAGCGGGGCCCACGTGGTTCAGGGGGTCCCTGTAGCAATCGGAGGGGACACCAGATGTGCAGTCACCTCGTGGTCAATTGGCGGAAAACACCGCGCAGTCTAAGTTAGTGAACGGAGAGGAGGAGGCGTGCATGAGCCAGTAAGAAGGCAGCGTGGGCGCGTGGAAGGCGCACAGACTGGGAAAGCGGGGACTCAGTACAGCCTCTGTTCTGCCGTCTCAGAGCAGCCGTTACCCACACCCTGGCCTCTCCAGGCAGTGGGCCCTCCTGTAAGTGTCCTAGAGGGTGTTTCACTTCCCTGCCTGCAATGCTGCAAGTCTGGGCTGTCAATGCACAGCTTGCATTATACTTAATATTAAATGCACGTTGTTAACGTGTAGTTAGTGTCATACATAATGTTAGATGTATATTGTTAATACACAGTTACCGTGAGCGGGTGTAGACAGATGGGGCCCGGATGCACGGATTCAGACCACTTCGGTGGCGCGCAGGGAACAGTGGGGTCCGTGGGCTCCGCGGGCTCCGCCACCAGCCGGGGGCCGCCCCAGGCAGACGTGAAGGAGGCGGGGGCAGCCGAGCTGGAAGGCTCGGACCTGGGCGGGCGCTGGCTGAGCAGGCGGGAGGCTGGGTCCTCAGCCGGCGGGTCTCTGAGCTCCCTGCTTCCCCTCGGGGAACGGGCCGGCAGGGCGGAGCCGAGGCCCTTCTCGAACTGCGTCTGCATGACGGGGCAGCTGCGTTGTGCGGAAGCTCCCCGGCGGGTGCTTTTTTCTGGGTCTGTGCTGCTTTTCCGTCACGCGTTCACCGACGCGTTCAGTGACGCTGGCTTGTTTCTTCATAACCAGGGCCGCCGTTTGCTGCACGTCCGCGCATCACTGGGCTTCGTGCTGATGCTCTCCGACGCTTCCTGGGTGCACAGCCCTTGTGAGGTTGTCCTTTTCGGCTTAGTTTCCTTCCCCACCAAATAGAGGCGATAATCCTCTCTCGGAGGGTTGCAGTGAGAGCTAGAGGCGCTAATCCATCCGCGGCATTTAGCACATGATGAGCACCCAGCATACGCCAGCTGCCCTCGTTTTCACAGCGGATTCCCATTTGTGAGGCTCCGTGTCCTCACCGTTCGGGGCGACCGCGGCCTCCGGGAAGGCCAGGCGGCACTTGGGCTGGCTGGCAGGGACAGGTGTCGCGCGACCTGATTCTTCCAATACCGCGACTAACAGCGTCCTAACTACAACGCCCTGATGGAAGCAGGTGCATTTTGAAGTTGGATTATTCTGGATTTTTAATGTCAGTTCTTCCAGTTCCTCTCTGTGCTGCTGGGAAAGTGACGTAAGCTCCCCGTGCCTCTGTTTCCCTGTCTTTCAAAGGAGGATCTCTTTACAGGGTGGTTTTATGTAGACAGCAAGGCCACAGACTGCGTCCGACATCTGGCCTGCTGTCCAGCACACGGTCAGCTGCTGAAATCTGGGTCCCTGCCCAGCACTGGCTGCTTGTTTAGTCACTTGGTAGGAAACTCCCTGAGCACGCGGTCAGTCATGAATAGCCAGATAGTCTAGGGGTCATCCACGTTGGCCCTGGCTTTCTTTGGGGCAAGACAGGATTTCCCCAGCTTGGATGTTCTGTCTAACACTTACATTTGCACAGGACATGAGGGCAAAACGTGGCAAACAATAGGGACATTTTACTTGTGGTTAACAAGAACATAATTTTGCTTTCTTGCTCATGGAACTTTAAAAACAAATTAGTAGAGATTGTATCTTGGAGTAGTTTTAGGTTTACAGCAAAGTCAAGCAGAAAGTCCAGAGGGTCCCCCCCCAGCACCCCCCCCTCAGCGTCCTCTGCCGTTTGCATCCTGCCTCGGTGTGGTCCGCTGTTCACAGTGGGCCAACCTCCGTCAACGTCATTATCGACAAAGTCCACGTTTTACATCAGGGTTCACACTTTGTGTGGTAGCTGCCGTGGGCTCACAAATGAGCAATGGGCTGCACCCACCACCAGAGCCTCACACGGCGTGGCTCCATCTCTTTGTCCCTCCCTCCCCGGCCTCCTGGCAACCACTGATCTTCTTACCGTCTCCAGAGTTTTGCCTTTTCCAGAATGTGTTAGAGTTGAAATTGTACAGCATGTGGCCTTTTCAGATGAGGCTTGATAGCTCATTTCTTTTTAGCACTGAATAATATGCCGTTTTACGACTGTGCTGGCTTATCTATCCAATCAGCTATGGGAGAACATTTGATTGCCTCCAAGTTTTGGCAATTATGAAGGCAGCTGATACAAACATGGTGTGCAGGTTTTTGTGTGGACATAACTTTTCAGCTCAGCTGGGCAAGTACCAAGGACCACATGTATGAGACTGTACAGTAAGAGTAAGCTGAGTTTTGTGAGAGACGCCAAGCTGCCTTCCCACCAGCCGTGGAGGGGGTCTGTCGCTCCACGTCCGTGTCAGCGCTCGGCGCTGTCCGATAGGTGAGCGGCGGTGTCTCATTGTCCTGATTTGCGGTCCGCTAATGAGAAACGATGTTGAACGTCTTTCATGTTCTTGTTTGCCATCTGCAGATCATTCCTGACGAGCTGCCTGATCTTTCTGCCCACTTTTAACTGGGTTGTTCATTTCTCAGTGTTCGGTTTTAGGAGTTGCGTCTGCAGTTTGGAAAGCAATACTTCATCAGCTGTGTCTTTTGCACACGTCTTCTGCCGGCCTATGTGGCTTGTCTTCTTATTCTCTTGCTGGTTCATGGGACTTTAAAAGAGTAATTTCCTGTCTTTAAAAAGGAAATAAAAGTGGAACAAGAAAAATGTTTCTGTTAAATTGTGTTGTAAAGTGTTAAGACGGATCTGATGCTGAATGGACCAGTATTTAGAGACTTACTGGTTTATTTCTCCCTTTTCTTTAGTCCTCTTTTTGCCTCTCTCTCTTTGCCTCTCATGGTGGCGAGCACGGTGGTCCCTGTTCTGGCGGCGAGCACGGTGGTGGGCGAGTTACAGTCCCTAGAAGTGTCCCCCTAAGTCCACGCTGGGCGAGGCCGCCCCGGGGGCTGTGTCTTCCCCTCCCTCTCACCGGAGATGGAGCAGCCACGATGCCGCCTTCCCTAGGGCCCAGGCCTTCTCAGCCAGGACCCAGACTCAGACAAATCTAGCCCAAAGCAGATATGTCCTGTGCAAACAATGTAGTAAGAGGTAAGTGAAGAGAAAGATCTTCCTACCAGACAAATGCCCAACTGTGGATGAAAACAGCCGAGGCCGTGCTGGGACGCGCTCTGGCCAGGCTTTGTAAGTGAGCCTTCTCTGCTGCTCGTGATAGTCTCGGGACAGGGACCGCGTGGCTGCTGGGCGTGCCCGTCGTGGCAAAGGCAGGCGCTCTTGGGTCCTGCCCCGACTCTGCGCGTTCTCTTTGTGGCTGCCGTTCCCGGGGGTCCCTTCACTACCTGTGTGCAAAGGGACCTGCCACCCCTGCAGGCAGCCTGGCAGATGGAAAGTTCGGAGGGTGAGAACCCCTTCCCGGCATGGAATGCACCGTGAAATGTGTTTGAAAACAAAGGTGTTAATGACAATGGTCATCAAAACCCTGCCCTTTCAGATGCATTTTTCCGTGGTTTCTGGACCCAGAAGAGCTCGTCACGTATTGAAATTTCAGATGGCTGGCTGACCGCATGACAGCGATCACACGTCTTTAAGTCGTGCAAGTGCGGCTGGGCTGAATCTGCCTGTCCGCCCCCTACACGCACCCCAGGGGGAGGCAGGCCTGACACCCCCCGGAGCTGCTGCAGACAGGCACACCTCTGGGCCCGGCTTTTGTGGAAACCGCCCTTCTGGGAGGATAAAAAATAAAACACCCTAAGAATAAAAAACAAACAGACCTGAGTGTTCAGGAGGCAGTGGGTTCATTATGGACGAAGAAGGAACCAAAGAACTCAGTCAACGTGAAGAGCAAGAGAGAGTCATGGGAAGGGCGGTGGCCCCCAGCCCAGCCCGGAGGTACATGCCCTCCGCGGCCTGAACCCTCCCTCCACTCTGTTACACTCACAGGGACTCCGCCCATTAGTAATGCGTTTAGGTCAACAGGCTTCCTCTGGGGGTGGCTGAAGGGCCAGGAGTCATTCACACGCTCTCCCAGTGGAAGCCGGGGTTGCGCACCCCGAGGACGAAAGAACGGAACGGCCCTGACTGAGAGCCGGGCTGTGCCAGGCCGGGTCGCTCTGTGAACTCTATCCCATTAACCTTCACAGTAGTTTTTCAGAGCAGGAATTATTCTCTCATTTTACTGTTGAGAAAGTGGAGGCATAAAAACTTGTCCAGGGGCACCTGTCAGAGGAAGGAGGTGGGATTTAAACCCAGGTCTGTTCTGGTCATGTGTGGGAACGTTGAGGTGGAGAGAGATGAACAAGGTGGTTTGGGACGGGCATCCTTGAGGCTGGGCTCCGCACATCCTTAGATCACGGGGTATATAGACGCCCTGTGCAGCCATAATGTAATTTATTCATTCATTAAATAAATCAATTTTGTTTGTTTTTTAATGTTTATAATTTTTATTGAAGTATAATCAGTTTACAATGTGTTAATTTTTCAGCATAATGTTTCAGTTATACACATATGTATTCCTTTTCATACTCTTTTTTCATTATAAGTAATAACAAGATATTGAATGTAGTTCTCTGTGCTGTACAGGACTTTGTTGTTTATCTATTTTATATATAGGAGTTAGTATCTGCAAATTCCGAACTCCTAATTTATCCCTCCACCCTCTGTACCCCACTGGTAGCCATAAGTTTGTTTTTGATGTCTATGAGTCTGTTTCTATTTTGTGAATAAATTCATTTGTGTATTTTTTTAGATTCCACATATGAGCGATCTCATATGATATTTTTCTTTCTCTTTCTGGCTTACTTCACTTAGAATGGCAATCTCTAGGTCCATCCATGTTGCTGCAAATGGCATTATTTCATTCTTTTTTATGGCTGAGTAGTATTCCATTGTATAAATACACCACAACTTCTTTATCCAGTCATCTGTCAGTGGACATTTAGAAGCTTCAATGTCTTGGCTGTTGTAAATAGTGCTGCTGTGAACATTGGGGTGCCCGAATCTTTTCAAATTAGAGTCCCCTCCAGATATATGCCCAGGAGCGGGATTCCTTGGTCATATAGTAATTCTATTTTTTAGTTTTTTGAGGAATCTCCATACTGTTTTCCACAGGGGCTGCACCAAACTGCATTCCCACCAGCAGTGTAGGAGGGTTCCCTTTTCCCCACAGCCTCTCCAGCATTTGTCATTTGTGGACTTTTGAATGATGGCTGTTCTGACTGGTGTGAGATGATACCTCATTGTGGTTTTGATTTCCATTTCTCTGATAATTAGTGATAGTGAGCATTTTTTTCTTGTGCCTGTTGGCCATTTGTATGTCTTCATTGGAGAATGGCTTGTTTAGGCCTTCTGCCCATTTTTTGATTGGATTTTTTTAATTTATTTTTTGTTATTAGGTTGTATGAACAGTTTGTATATTCTGGAAATTAAGTCCTGTCACTTGCATCATTTGCAAATATTTTCTCCCATTCTGTGAGTTGTTTTTTCATTTTGTTTGCAGTTTCCTTTCCTGTGCAAAAGCTGATAAATTTAATTAGGCCCCATTTGTTCATTTTTGCTTTTATTTCTATTGCCTGGGTAGACTGTCCTAAGAGAACGTTGCTAAGATTTATGTCAGAGAATGTTTTGCTTATGTTTTCTTTTAGGAGGTGTATCATGTCTTGTCTTTTATTTAAGTCTTCAAGCCATTTTGAGTTTATTTTTGTGTACGATGTGAGAGAGTATTCTAACTTCATTGATTTGCATGCTGCTGTCCAGCTTTCCCAGCACCATGTGCTGAAGAGACTGTCTTCTCTCTGTTGTATATTCTTGCCTCCGTTGTCGAAGATTAATTGACCATAGGTGTGTGGCTTTATTTCTGGGCTCTCTATTCTATTCCATTGATCTATAGGTCTGTTTTTGTGCCAATACCACATTGTTTTGATCACTGTAGCTCTGTAGTATTGTCTGAAGTCCAGGAGGGTAATTCCTCCAGCTTCATTCTTTTTCTTCAGTACGGCTTTGGCAATTCTGGGTCTTTTGTGATTCCATACCAACTTTAGGATTATTCTAGTTCTGTGAAGAATGTCCTGGGTAATTTGACAGTGATCACATTAAATCTGTAGGCTGCCTTGGGTAGTATGTCCATTTTAATGATATTAATTCTTCCAATCCGAGAGCATGGGTTATCTTTCAATTTCTTTGAATTGCCTTTAATTTCCTTAATCAGTGTTTTGTAGTTCTTAGCATGTAAATCTTTCACCTCCTTGGTCAAGTTTATTCCTAAGTGTTTTATTTTTTTGATGTGATTTTAAAAGGACTTATTTTTACTTCCTTTTCTGGTATTTCATTGTTAGCGTAAAGAAATGCAACAGATTTCTGCATGTTAATCTTGTGTCCTGCTACCTTGCTGGGTTTGTTCATCAGCTCTGCTAGTTTTTGTGTGGAGTCTTCAGGGTTTTCTATATATAGTATCATGTCATCCACATGTAGCAACAATTTTATCTCTTCTCTTCCAATTTGGATCCCGTTTATTTCTTCTGGTCTGATCAATATGTTTTAAATTAGACTGTACACCAGGCACTTTTCAAGTTGTTGGGAATATGGAGATGTATAAAACAGGCAGGTGACTTCTGTCCTGAGGCCGAGGGTCTAATAAGGGGAGACAGATAACAACCAAGTACGTAAGTGTTTTAAGAGGTGATGTCCAGTGAGGACAAAGGCAGGTGGAGACGGCGAAGGTGGGATGAGCTGCGTCTCTGGACGACGTGTCTGAAGAGCCCTCTCTGATCCGAGACCTGGAGGAGTGAGCATCTTCCCAAGCAGTGACCTGCGTACAGGACCAGCCTCCCCGACACAGGGGCGAGGGCGCGCTCTGGCTTCAGGCAGGTGGGGCCACCTGGCCAGTGTGATGGAAGCACAGTGAGGGCAGGCACGACTGCTGCAGGAGGGAGGCCCAGCAAACATAGAAGAGGGTTTGATCCCCCCCAGTTGAAGATTAAAGCCACTGGAAGATGTTTTGAAGGCAGGCGCTCTCTGATTTTCAGGTCAGAGAGGAGGCTTCTGGGTGGGGAGTGTATGCACACAGGTGAGTGGAAGCGGTGAGGCTGGTTGTGCCATCACAGCGTCCACGTGAGACTCAGTTTTGACTCAGCCTGGGCAGGGCAGCGGAAGGGAAGGAGAAAAGCGGCCGATTTTAGGTGCATGTTGGAGCCAGAATGGACAGGCAGTCAATGGGCTAGATGTGAAAAAAATAAAGGGAGAGAGAAACCAGGGGTGATGTTTGGGGTTTTATCTGGAACGGCTACACCAGTGGAAGTCTAATTCGGTGGGAGAGTGAAAGCCGGAGAACGAGGGCCAGTGATTCTTGGAGGGGGTGGGTAATGGTGCAAAAGCAAGGTTTTGGATACAATTGGAGATTCCTATTAGACATCAGGTGGGGAGGTCCAGGAAATGGCCAGCATCCTGGCTGAGATTTAAGTGGAGGTGGGTGAGTCTCTGGTGAACAGAATGTCTGCTGATAACACTGCTGAGGTCAAGGAGGGAAGGGTGCAGACAAGGAGGGAGAGGAGCTTCAGGACTTAATCCTAAGATGCGCCAACGATCAGTCATCCAACAGAAGGACACAGCATAGGAAGTCAGTGAGGCAGAAGCAAGAGTCACAGCAAACACAGGGTGTTTCTCAAGGAGAGTGTGGAGTGCGGCCAGCCCGTCATGGAATGATTTCAGCAGCATGGAGGTCGTCTGTGACCTCAAGGAGCAATTTCAGAGGAGTGGTAGAGATGAAGGCCTGACGGGGTGTGCTCAGGAGAGAATGGATTGAGAGTAAGTGGAGACAAAGAGTGTGTAACACTCTTTTGTGAAGTCTTGCTGTGTGACAGAACAAAGAAATGCGGTGGAAATGGAGAGAGCTGTGAGTTAAAGGAGAGCTTCTGTCTGTTCCGCCGGCTTCTCTACAAGGTGAGACATCCTGGATGGTGTTTGGGTGCGGACAGGAAGGATGCAGGAGAGGAGCACGCGGACGATGCAGGAGACAGGTGAGCAGCACCGTCACGGAGCCTTGAGCAGCCGGCAAGGGGGCTGGACTCTTGGGCTTGTAGATTCTGGGAACCTAGGAAGGTGTCGGCACTGAGAGTGGTGAGACAAATGGTCCCTTTTAACCAGTGGGAGGGAGAGAGCATGGGGATATGTGCTCAGGGAGGTTATGAGGTGAGGGTTTGCTGGGAGGGAGGGGCGGCAGGTGTGTGGAGGTGTGAAGGTTTGAGGAACCCAGGAGGGAAAGTGGTGTGGGGACTGGGTGAGCGCATGCGTCAGCACACCAGAGAAACCAGGTAGGGTGATCAGGCAGAGGAGGGTGCCCATCGAAGTCCTAAACATAAGATGTGGTGTTCTCACAAAATCATTGGCAGGCTTACAATCTATGAAGAAATGCCTTCAGAGACTAAAACCCAACAACGTACATATATTGTGGTGCAAAATAATGAATATTCACTAAGTGCATGTGGAAGGCATTTTTTCATTAATCCTCACAAATTCAGGAGATGGGTACCATTAAATCTTCATTTACAAAGGAGGTCATTGAGATTTGGAGAAGTAAATGGACCTACAGAAGGTCCCCCAGCCAGGAATGAGGATGGGCAGGGCAGAAACGGTCTCCCCAGTGACAGAGAGGTGCCCTCGCTGCCTCCCTGGAGCGCAGCTGGGCTGTTGGTGAGCGAGAACACGCACATGCGGTACCTTTATGGCATTAGCCATCTCAGCTGCGTGCCACAAAACGGCAGCAGGGAAAGAGAAGGCCTTGCGTTTAGGTTTTGCGTGTTTCACTCCACCTTCAGTGATCTGGGGTGGGGGAGGCTGGCCGGGCCCAGGGCAGCACACATTCACACTTCTGTTCTCTTGCCATCTGTCACGGATGAAGAGCCTTTCCCTTATGTTTCTCTCTGTAATCCATTTGCTGCCTCGGAGAGTCCTGATTTCCCAAGGGAATGCCCCAGATCTGCTTGGTGTCCCTGAGAGCAGAATTTTGCATCCATTGCAAGAAGTTGTCCCAGGTATTGACAAACGATAGGAAGAAATATGGAACCGCATCATCCAGTGGGGAAATTTAGGGGAACCAAGGACTGTGGCGAGTGGCCAGGGCGAGGGTGGGGGTGGTCCCTGAGATCCTGGGGGCTGCAGGGTCCCCGGGCTGTGCAGCTGTGAACAGGCCCCCCCAGCCTCTCACGCTCTGCATGCCGTCTGTGCCGTGGTAGCCGTCGTGGAACCCCAGGGCGCTGCACACTGCACAGCGTACTGTTCCCAGCTCTGCAGTCCTGCCCTGAGCCAGGCTTGCTGGCCTGAGGGTGGAGCACAAGCAAGAAGTCGTGAGTAAGAGATAAGTCTTTGCTTGTTTACTCTGCGTTTTAATAATTGGCTGGTTACGTTCCATTTTTATTCGGTTTCACTGACAATCAGACGGAGAGCCGTAATGCCCTCTCGCGCCTTGTAATTACCAGTAATTTCTTCCCTTTTCTCCACGCAGTCAGGACGAAGTTGGCAGAGAAGCCATGGGAGGTTGAATCAGACTGAAGTGGGATGCATATGCATGAGGCTGGACCAGCCAGGGCTCTGGGGAGATGCTTGGGGAGGGGTGGAGGGGCAGAAAGGAA